TTGGGACCACTTAATAAGTCCATACCCCTAGCCCTTTGAAAATCCTCAACCACCTATAAAAACCAGACCCTAAACCCTTAGGGGCGCTCTTCTCTGAGGTAGCCCACACTCCCCTTTCTCTGAGTGTGCACCTTTTTGCTTTAAATAAACCTCTCACTGCTCAACTTGTTTTGTCTCTGCGCTTATCCAGTAGTAAATGTCTTTGTTACTTTGCTTGTTCATTCTGATCCTCCAGATTCAGCTCAAACCTTTCCTCTCCTTCCTATTTCAGACAAGTAGGGAGGGGCTGCTGAGAGCTCAGACCTGGACTTGCAAATTACCACCGCCTGAGTGACCTAGGTGGAACTGCAGCTCACGGTCAGGGTCTTGAGCAGCCTGCCTGAAAAATCTCCTTTCTTTGCCCCTTGGAAGTTCGGGGAACTGATCTCACTCCAGCCAGTGCTCTGCGGCTCCCCCAAAGCCCAGGGTGGTGGGGACTCGGTTCCCATGCCGTGCAGGTCCAAGCGGACACTGGACACCAGGTGACACTGGCTTAGGAGTCCGCAGGGGAGGTGCCCCGTGGTGAGTAGCAGTTCAATGCACTTCCTTTATCATTCTGCTCTGTCATTCCCTGACACTCCCACTTTAACAAATTCCTTCCTCACCTTGTACTCTTGAGTTCCCTGCGTCTCTGAACTGACCTCTCCCCAACACCAGCACTACTCATAATAGCTCCAAACTATACACACACACACACACACACAGATTTATTATAAATAAGTGGATCATGAGATTACAGAGGCTGAGAAGTTCCAAGATCTGCAGTCAGGAAGCTGGAGGTCCAGAAGAAACCAGTCCTGTAACTTCCCATCTGAGCCCAAAGAGCAGATGGTTGAAGTATCATCTTGAGCTCAGGAGACTGTCTCAGCTCGGGCCAGGGGCGTTTCCTCGTACCTTTTTCTATTTAAGGCTTCAGAGGCTTGGGTGAGGCGCACCCTGTTCGGGAGGGCCGGCTGCTGCCCTCAGTTTGCTGATTCCAATGTTAATCTCATCCCAGAGCCCCTCACGGACACAGGAGAATAATGCTTATGTCTGACCACCTGCCGGGGATCCCATGCCCCAGTCAAGTCAGCATAAAGAATTACCCATCACAAGGCTAATGAATGCCCAGCAGTACAGATAGAGTAATAAACATCATAAGAAATTTTAAGAAGCTAAATATGAGAGAGGTCATGTTGTATGATTTCACTTATATGAACTACAACATAGGCAGAAGTGGTCTAATCTCTAAAATGTTAGAATAGATGTAAAACTATGTCCCAACAATTCCACTCCTACAAATATTCCCACCAGAACTAGTGATTTAGAGAGGGAAACAGGAAGGCTTTAAAGGGCTGACTATTTCACTTATATGAACTACAACATAGGCAGAAGTGGTCTAATCTCTAAAATGTTAGAATAGATGTAAAACTATGTCCCAACAATTCCACTCCTACAAATATTCCCACCAGAACTAGTGATTTAGAGAGGGAAACAGGAAGGCTTTAAAGGGCTGACGATAATTCTGTTTCTTGATCTAGGTGATGCGCGCAGAGTTCTGTTTGTAAAATTCGACTTATACTCTGTGTATATGCCTTTGATTTTGTGATATAGTAAGTCATAAGAAATATATATTTGGTCATTCAGGTGTATATTTCCCAGGTATATTTGGTCTCCATCCACAGTTCCTAAAAACACTGCAGTCTTAAAGGTGAAATGGATGTCTTGTCATTGTTAATGAAAGACTTTTGGACTCCCACCCAGGGACAGGGGCTGGAGGTTGAATCAGCCAACAGCCAATAGTTTAGTCAATCATGACTGTGCAATGAAGCCCTCACAATACCCCAGGAGAAGAGCTTAGCCCTCTCTGCTCTTGGATCCTGCTACTTTGTCAGAGAGCTTCTAAACTTGGGGAAACGGAACACCCCCGCGTGTCACCAACCCAGACCCCAAGCTCCACGGGGAGAGAAGCTGCTTTGTTTAGGACCTCGCCCTGTGTCTCTCTTCATCTGGCTGTTATACTTGTATCCTTTATTAAACTAATAAGTGTAAGTGTTTTCCTGAATTCTGTGAGCCGCTCTGGCAAATTAATCCAACCTAAGGGAGAGGTCATGGGAGCCTCTCATCTGTATCAGGTCACTTAGAAGCACAGGTTAACTGTCTGAGGCTGCAACCGGCGTCTGAGTGCAGGGTGGCAGGCAGTCTCATAGGACAGAGCCCTTAACCTGGGAATCTGGGACTGTCTCTGGGCAGAGAGCATCAGAGTTGAGTTGAGTTCTTGGACACCCTGGTGGTGGTCGAGAACTGCTTGGTGTTGTGTGTGTAGGAAGACTCCTCTGACCCCCAACACACACACACTGGAACTGGGTCCGGGAACCCGAAAGGAGTAAAGCCCACCATCATCGCAGATTTACAAAAATACTATCACCAAAATAAAGTTGCAAGAAGATGCTGGGGGAAAGTTTGGTCCTATGATTATATTTGACCTGCTGCTTCTGTCTCTATAGGATGAAATTTACGGAGCCACAGGCCCAGATGTCACAAGTCCATACACGAAACATCAAGGAATTAGAACAATGCTGGGTATAGTTAAGTCTGGGTTTTGTCATGAAGTTTGGCAGGACAGTGTCCCAAATATTTCATTCTTTGTGATGCTTTTGCTGCTCCTTTTGGCAATCATATACATTTAAAAAAAAAAGCAAACCATATTTCCTAGCATATATAGAATCCCGCAGAGCAACATGGGAAACCCAAAGAACTTGGAGCTTTTATTTCAAGTTCCATGCACTTGGAGTTCCTGGGGCTGTTCAGAATGGCCAGAGATGCTCAGGTGGCAGGGCGTGCCATTCCACACACTCTGCCAACGTTATGAGGATAGAAAACAAACTTATACTCAAAATCATTGAGGAAATGCTTCAACCTAAAATCTCTGTCTCGGGGATACCTTTAATAAAGAGAATGATCAATAAGTGGCTCTAAGCACTTGAAAATCAAACCTGTGAACCTCAGTCTGCACTCAGTAAAGGAAGAGATAATTGTAAAGAAGACAGAAAACCAAGATTCTAACTGTAGTCTGAGATGAGGAGACCATTCCTACTGTCAAACGCCTGCAGGCCATCCTGCCAGTTCCCACCGACTGATACGCATCTTGAGAGCCTGCCTGAGAACACGGGCTGTGGGCTACTTTTATCATCTCAGCTGAATACAAACTTTTGGATTAAGAAATACTTAAGGTTTCTGTTTTTAAGAACCTTCAAATAGCACTTAACAGTGTACGAATCGCTGCAGTAATGCTGTACCTTCTTAGAGTTTCATAGGTGCATGAAGTAGACACTAGCATTATTTTCACTGTAAAGACAAGGAGAACTTAGTTTCAGAGAGGTTGAGCGATCTGTCTCAATTCACACGCTAGCTTGGGGCCGAGTCAGGATGGGAACCTGGCTAGGCTGTGTGCAGAGAACGTGCTCTGACCATGGTGCCACACTATCAAACCACATCCGCTGTGTTTTTACATAATTAACCTCTATGTGTAGTTTTGTTTTTAACACACCTTGCCATTTTATTTTACATCTTTGGTACTTCATTTTATAATTTTGTCTGTGGCAAGTTTTTGTTTCTATTTAGAGATTTATTGTGTAGGTCAATATCAAATATGAAGGAAGTTTTAGAGATCCTAGTGAAATACAGATGCACTAATTACAGTAAATTCCTAAAGGAAACTGCCCCACGTTCAAGCTGGATTTAATCAATGCTAGATTGGCTCATTCTTACTTTGGCAACAGAAAGACTCATTTGCTGTCATGCCAGAGCAAAACTACAGTGGGCATGGATCAAATAAATTATTGACTAATATTACTTTGTGCCTAAATTATGGTACATGAAATACTAATATGTGATTAAAACATTGTAGGACAGAAACTAAATTGTTATTAATTTCAGGTTGTATACTCATCAGTATATTAATGCATGAGTTAAGTAACTATCAGCCGTGAAGCTACATTTGTGGGATATATTAAAATATAAGAGACATATAAAATGGAATCTGGAGAACATGAACTCTTAGTCATTGTCTGAATTGAAATCATAGTGAAATGAGCTGTGGACTTGGGGTTGGTGCTAGAATAGTATTAAAGCAGAGAAAATAACAACGTACATCTCGTCCTCATAACTGTTGTCTGAAATCCCTAATTTTTCAGTTGCCTTCTCCTTACACACTTCTTCTCTAACTTGAAGAGGGAAGCAATTTCAGTATAATCATTAGACTACAGCTGTGTTTAGGAGAGACATAATTACTGTTTCAACTGCATCTTAAATTCAGAGTTAGATTTTTTAAAAAACACTTTTTAATTCCACAACTAAATTTAGACACATGGTTTCCACACAGAATGAGGTTTCTCTGCTAGTTCCATCCTCCTTTTTATTATAAGCATGAAGGCATTATTTCTATGCCTCTAGTAATTCTGTCAGTGTTGCCTGTGATTCAGGTAAAGTAGTGTGAGCAGCACATTGATTTCACAACTACAATCTTTAAGCACCTAGAAAAACAGATTTTCCTATCTGGTGTTACTCACCAACAATTATCCTCAGGGAGGGCTTTGTTAAATCACATTAGGAGCCATCAGGGATGGGTGTAGGGTCCAGGACCATCATCTGTCTTTACCAGCTCGGCTCATAACTGAGGAATGACTCCTCCTGCATGTCTAGCTTTGCCATGCTGTTTCTACCCCCAAAAGAATCCTCGTGGACACACAAACACTTACTCAGACTTCATTTCCTTACGGACTCTGCGTCTCAGACTGAAATACAAAGTACTTGGTGGGCTCCTTCCCGCCGTCAGGGTGGTGGGCTCAGTGTGAAGGGCAGGGCGTCCAGCACACGTGGGAGGGAGGCAGGCAGACCCAGATAAAGGTTTCTGAGCCTGTGACCTCCTCTCCCCTCGGAACTGTAATTATCACATCACTGTCATTTCAGCCGGAGTGGCGATGACGGTGCAGGCTTGGGGAGCTGAGCATATTCCTGAAAAACTTTTTTCCCAGTTGCTCATTGTCAAGAGCAATTACAATTCCTTAGAGTTGTAATTGATAGACCATTGAAGTGTTTGGGGGGGGGCTCTATTTTTTCATGATCCCTGAAGTTTTAAGAGGCAGATTCTACCGTCATTTACTATCAGATAAGCGAATGCTACTTGCTCTGACTGCATTGAGTGGTTACTAGATGTATTTATGCTGAAATTTCATTAACGAGCGCTCACTGATTATGTAGTTAATGAAGACAAATAGAATTTTTGAGCCCAAACCGGTTCTTTGGCTTTTCCAACAGACAAGTCCAGCGTTTGATTTAGGTCTACTATTCATTTCCCATGTGAGAGTTTTACTCCAACTCAGAAATCAAAGGAACCACAGTCCACACACCCCGCTAACGACAACAGCAAGTTTGGAGGTTCCCTAAAAACACCCAGAGCTGGTTATTCTCTGGAGGGACTCAGAGCGCTGACGGGGAGCTGTCCCACTCGCGGTTGCAGCTTATTGCAGAGAAAGGAGGCAGTTAACACCGGACAAGGGGAGAAGTGCGCGGCAGAGTCCAGGAGAAGTTCCGAGCGCGGGTCTCCTAGCCCGCTTCTCCGTGCGGCCTGGCGGTGGTGCGCCCGTCTGGGACTGACGCCTGACCGCTCGTGGAGTCCTGCCAGTGGGGAAGCTCGCTGAAGCTTTGGTGCCCAGTTTTCACTGCAACTCTGCCACTTACTTTCTGGACAGCCGACCTCTGATTTCAGCTCTTCCAGAGGCTGAGATGACAGTCTGGGCCCAAAGCCCGGTCGTAAATCACGTTGTGAGACTGTTGGCCAAGCGTCCAAGCACACAAAAACACTCAGCAGGCGTGATTCCAAGCGCCTAGAGATCCCTTCTCAGGAGCTGTGGGCAAAGGCCAGACTTGACTTTACGTAGTTAATTCTCAAGTAGCCAGGCCACCATCTGGCTTCTCCCAAGACTCTCCTACAACAAAACGAACATGTTTGTCTGGGCACCGCCCTCTAGGACTGCATCTGAAGGCCAGACAGCGGCTGTGCAGCTGTGAGTATGACATTCGGACGAAGCAGTGTGAGGTAGGGATAGATTTTAAGAAGCAGCTAATCCGTCCTCTAATGTCATGACACACATTTTCATAGGTTTGTACGATATTACTCATTTCCCTCCTTGACCCACCAGCCTTACTCTGTTTAGGCAGATTGGTCACTGCTCACTCTAGTTTCCACATCAGAGAAGAGACCACCCATTCTCCAAACACAAACACCCAGGACATCACTCAGACACACACACAAGCACACAGTGTGCACACTCACATACTCAACACACCGAAACACATACTTACAGTCATTCCCACACACACGGAGTCCCACGCAAGACACTCGTGTATATTCACCACATACCGTTTCCCATTCCCATTCGTGCATAATCACGGTGCACAGACCCACACAAATGACATCGTGACCAGGTGGATATGTATCTCAGTGACATGTTTGTATGTGAAAGAAGCGGGCACATGTCCAAACCTGTGATTGCAAGAAAAAGTGTGGGGGGTGTCTTAACTGCCTCTAACACCCCTTTCGACCCCATCAGAGCCCACATAGGCAGCATCTGAAAGTGTCCTCAGCTTTGCCACTTAAGGTCGGGGGTGTGGTGAGAAACTAGGAGTGTGTTGGGTGTGTGTGACTGAGTTATGCAAGAACCAGGGCACCGAGAAGGGGCACGGGAGTAAGATGGGGTGCAAGAGCCTGGGGGTTTGGGTGGTCATGCGGGGGTTAAGATGTGCCTGGGGTTAAGTATATGGTGTCTTTAAAGTGCACTGTGGGGCTTAAGGGCAAAAGGGGTTAAAAGTGTGCCAGGAAGTTAAGGGTGTAGCACATACTGGGCCCTGCGGGGATTGGGGGGTACAGCAGTCACTGGAACAAACAATGATGGGGACAGGGACAGAAGTGCAGGGCGGTAAAGGGCAGGGTGGGCACAAAGCACAGGGGAGTTCACGTCCACAGCAGCCTAAAGAACTAAGATGGAAAGGTTCTTCTGGTGGTGGACATGACGTAGTGACACTCGGGTGGGTGGAAGGTGAACTCTTCATCGCAGCCCAAGGGGAGGAGGGGGACAGACAGGGCCGTGTGGCCCCTCCCCCAGTGGGAGGGTAACAGCAAACCAGAGGCGGGGCGCAGCTTGCATGTGGCAGATTTAGTGGGATTAGCTAGGTTTTGAGGGCTCTCTGTACATTGGCTGATTTGAATAATCCCTCAGTGTCCAGGGCATAGAGATGGTTTCTGATCTACTGGTGATTGTCCCCAGGACAGTTAGAGTTGGTGCCTGGTGGCCACGAGTGTGAGAGCTCCGCAAAGGAAAGGAAGTGATTGGGTGTGTGGATTCACCAGCCGCTCAGAAAGGAGAACTAATTGTTCTCCAGCCATGGCCACAAAACTGGGTCAAGACAGCATAAATCCAAAAACCTGAAAACTATGTTACAGTGTATTTTTGGAGTGTGAGTGTCCTGGGGGTAGTTAGTGGCCTAAGGCAGAGCCTGAGGTTGGGAAGGGTAGCTGGAGGCTTGCAGAGGATATAATGGGCTCAGGGAGACAGAGTTGTTGTGGGCGCTGAAGTCAGCTGGGGAGGGTGGTGGGTCTGAGTAGACTAAAAGGCCCAGAGGAAAAGAGCAGGTTTGGGGTGTGAACTGGGCACGTGGAGAGGTGACGGCACCCAGTGTCTGAGGGGTGGCATTTTGAGAGAGGGGTATGGAGGACATGGGAATTTGGCTGAGGTCACTGAAACAGAGGCAACTACAGGTCAAGGGGGAATGTGGAGGTTATGGGAGGCAAAGAGTGCTTGGCTGAGGTCCTGGGAATGGTCCCGGATGTGGAGGTGACAGAGGGAAGGAGTCCGAAGTGGGTGAAGGATGGAGGTGGGGTCTGGAAGTTGGAGGGTCAGGTGGAGGTGGGAAGGGGAAAACGCAGATCAAGGAGTTGGAGGGTGACGGGGCGGCACCGAGGGATGGATAAGGAGTGGTGGGACGCGGGTCTCACTAGTGACAGAGGTGGAGAGAGTGTCAGTGTGGAGATAAGGAGCTGGAGTGGCAGGGGCACCTCGGAGGTCACTGAACCATTCCCCCACTCAGCAGTACCTTCATTTACGGGGGAGTCACAGATTACTTGCGGATCGTTTTTACATTCTTCTCATGAAGCAAAAATCTTGCTCATATAAAATGCTCCTACAAAATGTTTAACACACAGTAGGACCACAGGTAGATTCTGAGTAGACAGCACCTCCCCACTCCCACTATTTCTTTACTGGAATTCCAGATAGAAGGTGTGACCACTGTGGGTCTGGCTGGAGACCTGTTAGTGGTACCAGGCACTCAGTGTTGACAACAGGTTGCAGGCCTGACCCCTACCTAATACTTAAATCTTCGAGAAATTGCGCAAAACTGAGTTGATGAAATTCCCCTTCTTTACGGTAGTTTTTTCTAAAAGGTAATACATGCTCTATATCAGACATAAAGCATAACAAAACAATTGAAATTTTTAAAATAATGTTTGTTCCTTGTGTGAAACCATCCCAAACTGGTAACAGTTTTGTGGATCTGATAACAATTCAAGATAGTTTTCACTGGGAAAATTCCCCCGGTGTCACAGTGAGCCAGGCGGACCTCCCTGCCCTGGTGTTAGCCCTTGCTGATGTTTCATTACCTGGCCAAAGGGACTCGGCGGATCAGCAGCCTAACTGATGAGACCTTGCTTCTTACGGATGAGCAAAGAAAGTGGTTTCCTGAGATGGACTCTACTCCCGGAGAAGATGCTGTGAAGGTTGTTGAAATGACAAGGTCACTAATCATCCGACTACAACAGGGAGATTATTCCAGATCATCTGCGTGGTCTGAATGTAATCACGTGGCTCTAAAGAGCAGAAGAAACCAGTTAGATGCAATAGAGAAGGAAGAGATTCAAAAAGGGAGCCAGGATTCAGCGTGCTGATACTGGCCTTCGAGATGGAGAAAGCCACGTAGAGATTGTAAAAGGAAATGAATTCCGCCAGCAGCAGGAATCAGCCGGGAAGCAGTTCTCCCCAGGAGGCCCCAGTTACGGGCCCAAGGGAGCCACCACCGTGATTTCAGCCTCTGACTTCCCACCTGAGAGGAAATAATGAGTCTTGTGTTAAGCTGCTATGTTCCTGGAAAGTTGTTATTGTAACAGTAGAACCTAATGCAGGAATACCTTTTTTTAGTGTGCTTTGCAGATACGGGTTTGTTTGGTTTTGTCTTTTTTTTTTTTTTTTTACAAATTGAAGGGTTTGTGGTAACCCTGCCTTGAGCAAGTCTATCAGTACCATTTTTCAACAGCACTTGCTCACTTCACATCTCTGTCACAGTGTGGTGATTCTCCCAACGTCTCAGACCTTTGCATTTTATTATACTCGTTATGGTGATCAGTGATCTTTGATGTTACTACGGAATTTGTTTTAGGGCACCACGACTTGCACCCATATAAGACAGACAACTTAATTGGTAAGCGTGTGTGTGTTCTGTCTGCAGATGTGGTGGAAACAGCAGGAGAACTAAAATTAGAGGTGGAGCCTGAAGATGGCGCTGAATTGCTGCAGCTTCATGATAAAACTTTAACTGATGAGACCTTGCTTCTTACGGATGAGCAAAGAAAGTGGGTTCTTGAGATGGACTCTACTCCCGGAGAAGATGCTGTGAAGGTTGTTGAAATGACAACAAAGGATTCAGAAAATTACAAAAACTTGGTTGATAAAGCAGTGGCACAGTTTGAGAGGACCGGCTATAATTTTGCAAGAAGTTCTACTGTGGGTAAGCTCCTGTCCACCAGCATCAAACAGCCACACAGAAGCCACAGACTAGTCGTTTACGAAAGGAAGAGTCTGTTGAGGTCACTCCTTATCTAACACAAGAGACTATCACCCTTGACAAAACACTAGTATTATGCCATCATTTAGTG